GTGGATATTATTCTGGGCGTTTTTTATATTGACGTAATTACTGTGGATACTAGTATGTTGGATTATAGTGTGGATACATCGTCGGAGCCATCCTATACTAAATTTAGATTCATTGATATGAGTTAGCTTAGTGTTTACGGATTTTTGTTAGACGTAGTCCGGGGATTATTCTGGGCACACTGGATACTAACTGGTAATGAAAATATCTCGCAGCTCACAACACTTCGGACCTAGAAGATGATGAAGCACGGAATACCATATTTTTTCGCACTAAGGATGAGTGTGTTCGTTTCTACGAACACTATGCTCACAAAAAAGGGGTTTGGTGTTCGAGTAGGTTCGCAACATTTGAGAAAAAGGAAGAATTATGAAGGAGAGGTGGTGGAAATTTATGCCTACCTTTATTATGTTTGTAATAGAGAAGGCTCCACGGACGAAGTCAATGTTGAGAAACAGAAACAGGGAGAGGATTCGGTTGTAGAGAGAAGCCTCCCTAAAAGAAAGAGGTCTCGAATTAGTCTGTACTCCACCAAGCATGATTACCTGTTCAAGTACAACAAGTCTGTGAGTGTTCCTCAAGGACTTGTTGCTGAAGCAAATCGCAACGCTGGGATGAGTCTTAGGTCATCGTATCAACTATTGGCTGAGTGTACCGGAGGGTATGAGGACTTGACTTTTACCAAATCTGATCAGAAGAACCATTTGAACAAGAGCAGACAAAAGACTGTGCCTCGTGGCGAAGTGACTTTTTTGGTTGACTACTTTCAAGATCAAAAGGAGAAGTATCCCAGCTTCTTTTATGCTGTAGAGGTAGATTGTGAGGAGAAAGTTGCCAATATTTTTTGGGCAGACAGTAGGATGCGTGAAGATTATGCACTTTTTGGAAACTCTGTCTCCTTCGACACCACCTTCTGAACCAATAAACACTTCCGGCCATTGGGTATGTTAATCACTTATTTTCCTTACTTTTTTGGACATGCAAACGGTTATGCATTGTTTTTAATACCAAGTATTTTGCAGGGATGTTTGTAGGTTTCAATCATCACCGACAAACTTGTGTGTTTGGCACTTGTTTGTTATATGACGAGACAACTCCTTCTTTTGAATGGTTGTTTGAAGCATTTAGTCGGTGCATGAAGAGGAAATTCCCAGTGACCATCTTCACAGATCAGGGCACCGATATGACAGATGTCCTTAGAAAGGAGTGGCCTACTGTGTTTCATGCCCTCTATACTTTGCAAATCTTGATGAATCCGAAGAAAAATCTTCGTAAGAACAAGAAATTTTGGCTTAATTTCCAAAATCATCTTGCTTATCTTTTCTACTACATCAACAGCGAGGCCGAGTTTGATGAGGCATTGAGCAGCATGGTTTTTGATTGTTTTCCCGGTAGTGAAACTGTGGATGGCAACCAATGGATGCTATATCTGAAGAAATTTCGTCATCAATGGTGTTCCTTATATTTGAGAGATCAATTCACAACGGGGATGTTGACAACACAAGCCAGTGAGTCGTGCAATGCACAAGTGAGACTCTTCTTGAAACCGAAACATAATCTCGACGAGTTTTTCATCCACTTTACCTGGTACGTTATCAGAATACTAGTTTGATTTTTATGGATATTACTGAGCACCTTACTTATATTTACAGACACTTTTTGTGGTATTGGTATGTGATGGTGTGATATATGTTTGTGTTGTTTGGATATTTGCTCTGTATGTATATGGATATCAGCCTAGGCAATCAACCCCTTACATAGAGACTGAGTCTGACTACTGGGGGGAAACAATCAACCCCTTACATAGTGTTGGAGAAAAGCTCGATCCTCCAACATGCTGCCAAGATCTTCACGAAAAACATATTCAACCAGATTCAAGAGCAGTATCTAGAAATTGAATACTATCTAATTGAGCTTGACCCAGATAATAGGGATGATGGCTTCATTAGCTACCTTACATATAAGATGGAGGATGGTGAGCATAGCGATGAACATGTCACTCTTGTCGATATTTATACGGCCATATTGGTATGCGAATGTAGGATGTCTAGAACATTCGGGGTTTTATGTCGGCATATGCTTAAGGTGATGCGATTGCTTGGAGAGTTTGGGAATGATAGTATGAGAACTATTCCAGATCATTACATACTCAAGCGATGGATGTTGGAGTCGAGAAGGAAAGAGGTTGGTGATGCTGATGCTTCAGGCGGTACTTCACATAGTCATGAGAACGATACGGGAAAAGGAGATATAGCAATGAGGTACCGAGAAACCACTGCAATGTTTAATCAGCTCGTAACAAAATTTTCAATGGCGGATGAGAAAGTGTACAACAGGTGGATGGGAGCATTAAAGAAAGTGTGCAAGGAGGCAAACAAGGCATTGTCAAAGACTATAACTAGCGAGGAAGGTAAGTGTATCTAATATGATTTGTAAACTAGTATAAGTTAATATCATTGGACGGATTACTTAAGCCACAAAAATTGTAGGGAATTCTGTACCGACAAGTGGCCTCTCTCTCAAGGAGAAAAGTAATACAAGGAAGCACAACAAGGAACGTTATCAGTCCACGAATGAGAAAGAGCATCGTCGAAAGAAGATTGCCTATGGAAAGAGATTGAAAGCATTGGAAGTGCTCACGCAGGACACCCATTTTCAACATGATGAACATCTCCTTGACTTGGAAGACGACATTGCTAAATTTGTGAGTGGATATTAGTTTGTCAAACTCAGATATTTGTTTATCCAACTACGATATTTCTCTACATTGTAAGGATATTAGTATGTGTTGTAGGGATATGTCTTTTGGTTCTACAAATGTTATCTCTAAACATTCGGATATTTCTGTTATATTTTATGTATGTGTTTGTGTGGATTTTATGTATTTCCATCACATATTCTCAGATTTTAGTTTGGGCATTTTGGATATCACTTTGGGTCATATGATATATTTTTGTTGAAGGAAATATATTCTTAATCCATCCTTGATAAAAAAATCAGGGATAGAATTAGTGTTTTCTACGTTTGTCCAAAAGTTCCCAAAATAACCCATTCACCTTAAACTAATAAAGCGAGCAATCAGGATAGAGTTAGTGTCTCCTTTTGTCCAAATACTCCCAAAATAACCCAATCACCTTAATACTTTAGCACCAACATATGTTAAATGAAACAGCTGGTGGTTAGTTTCAGCTTCTCTTCCCTTCCTCCTTCTGGGGGAAAGTCTTCTGACTCCTTAGATCAGCAGCGTAGACCCGGTAGTGTTTGGTTTGCATGCATAAGTAAAAAAAATCTGAAACATAGAACACATAATTATTTATCCACGAAACCCAAAAGAATATCTCGACAACCCAGACAAGTATCCAAACTAAGATTTCAGATATAAACAGGCAAATCTTCAGATAAATTAGTTATTCGCTCGAAAAAATATCCAATAAACCCAGACAAGTATCCAAAACTAACATTTCAGATATTCACAGGAAAATATCTATAATAACAACACATAATGGTATCCATACAATTCTGAAAAATATCTGGACATAAAAACACATAATTATTTATCCACAAAACCCAGAAGAATATCTCTACAGCACAGACAAGTATCCAAACTAACATCTCATATATTCGTAGGCAAATCTTCAGACAAATCAGTTATTCTCTCGGACAAATATCCAATAAACCCAGACTAGTATCCACAAAACGTATATAAGTATCAAGATAGAATAAGGATTCACTTACATATTCTAATTTGTCAAATACAACACGTTTGAAGAGTGGAACCCGCTTGGTCACTACAATTACCGCATCAAATCTCTCCTGGGTCGGGGCACATTATTCTGAGCATTAAGTAAGGCAAGTTGTTGTTTGCAAAGTAAAATAAAAGCTAATTAGTTACTAGATATCTAAATATTGTAAGGTGTGAGTGAAGAGCACACTTACACCAAAAGTGAACGGAAAGATAAGTCTGTTCAATCGACTAGCAAGTGCTTTGTCGTTCAAGAAATGACCATAAGCATCAATCACTTGGGTATTGACCCACCTAATCGCTTCAATGTCAACAGATGAAGACGTGCAAGTTTAATAGAAGGAGTGTGCACCACCAAGCCCTTAGCCTCAGGGGTACTGAAGACGAACTCAACCACACGACGAGCAACTGGGTCGAGCTTTGTCGACACATCCTTTGACAAATAATATACTGATGAAGAAGCATATGGGTTCTTTTGCGACGTCTCGAACTCTGGGGTCTTTAGTGTTGCAAGCCATTCCTCAGGTGTGTAGTTGTATAGAAGGTCTTCTTCCTCGACAGTCATAGCCCTCTAATGCGTGATAATCACATCTAGACTCCTCTGAGCGCTCTTACAAGCCGCTTCTACCAACTCCTCGTCTATCGGCAACATTCCCATCTCTACAGATGGATCCAACATCCCCACTACTACCACAAAAGTTGTCTCCAATACATCATGAGTGGTTGGCTCCACCACCTCATGAGTAGTCGTCTGTAGAACTTCCTCCCTTGTAGGTGGATCTTCTTCCTCAGCATTAGCAGCTATAGTAGCCTCATGAGCTATCTGCATAATATCCTAATAAGTTGTATCTGAGACTGTATAGTGGATCACCATAGGGACGGCTCCAACACCTACTCTCTAGTATCCAACTGGCTCTCTAAACAAGGCTGGATCACCTCCTCATGCGGTGTCACTACAGTCTTCTCCGCTTGATTCTCCACCACCTCAAATCTATTCTTCTCTTAAGGATCTTCTTCACATTTCTCTCCAGTATTCTCAACTTGTGGCTCGACCTGGTCCTTCTCTAGAGGATGCTCATCCATTTCCATTTTAGCTTCAGTATTCTCCACTTGGTCTTCCACCACCTCTGTTCTGAGCTGATCAAGCACCTCCTCAACAGTATTCTCCAAAGGTCTCTTTTTGGAATCCACGACCTTGAACCTGTCATGCTCTTCCCTCTTTTCTATCATATGTCCCAATTTTGTGGCAAAGTCCAGCAATTAGCCCAAATGCCGGTCAATCCCAGCACCTAGTACCTTAAGCTGGAAGACAAACGAAGAGTTTGCACAAAATTAAAAACTATCAACACACATGTATCCAGTATAATCCAAACTGCTCGTACAAGTATCCAACTTTTCCACAATGATATCCACACATGTGCGCGTACAAATATTCAACTTGCCAGAATAATATCCACATATAACAAACATAGATTTCACTGAAACTACTCGCCGCTGGAGGAGGAGCTGAACTACTCGCCGCTGCTACACTAGTACCCTCAGTAGCCGCTGACTGGAGCTGGTTGCGAGAGGCGATTTCTTCACTATTTAGCAGAGCGGCAACTAGGTCATATCTTCCCCCGGTTAAGGGGATAGATGCGCTTTCCCTCTCGACATTTTGCTTCCACCAAAACCAGCAGATAGGGATGGTCTTTGAGTGCAACCCGCGTAGGCTTAGGGAGTCCAATAGATGGATCTATAAACAATATTACAGTTAATAAATGTTAAGCGTCATTTCTAGAAATTTAATCAAGGAATATCGAGATTCACCCCTAACAGTATCCTATGTGACTAAAATGATATCCACAGACCATATGAAGCTGATTTTTTTGCAATTTCACCAACAAGCATCGATATTCAAACAAGTGTGTCCTATGTGACTAAAATGATACCTAGATAACATTCTAACCAAGAAATATTGTGATTCATAATAAACAGTATCCAAGCTGAACCAACAAGCATCGAAAAAGGTTAGGACTTACTATCAAGAAGTAGCAATCTCCGAGAACCCACACGCACGTGCACCCTTGCAGCATGTTCTTTTTTCTTCGCAACAGTCAACTCTACCTTAAGTTAACGGAAAATAAAGGTACACCAATCGTACACCCTAACGTCCTCAATACTCCCACCTATGTATGGGGCAAAGTCCAGCTTGTACCTCCGAGAAAATGTTGGCACGAGCAACGAAACAGTAGCTAGCAACAAGAATTGCTTGACAGCCACTGCAACAAGTGGTCTAGGACCTTCGGATGGAATGGCCAACTGTCGCATATCCTTGATAGGAACATTGCGGCCCCTGTTCGGAGTCATGCCGATATACTGGCTGAAACTGTCGAGCATCCCCCCCTTAATGTACTTCAGATCAATCACAGCCTCACCAAGAGGAAGACCGTAAACACGTGCCACATCCTCAGGTGAGAATTCGAACACCTTCTTCAAGTCTCCTTCCCCGAAAACAAAAGTACTTGTTGAGATGTCATAAGCAGCCATCAAGTCGTCCATGAAGACATTGGGAATTTTTGGCATTCGAAGGTCCAATAGGCCTCCGAATCCTGCCTTCTCGAATTCTTTCTTGCATGTTGCATAGTATCCAGCATCTTGTTTCCAGTAGCTTATCACTTTGAATAGAGAATAGGTTGAGCCGCAGAATCTAAAGTATGAGCCGCAGGGTCCCTCATCATCTTCTTCCTCATCTTCCTCCTCAACTTCTGGTTTTTGTCTAGCAGGCGTCGATTCCCTTGATCCTTCTTCTTCACGAGAACTCGGTGCAACCATTTTGGATCTCTTCCTCACGGGTTGTTCTTGAAACATTTATATATTAAGAAAAATATCCAAACTCCCAGACAAATAACTAAAATGCACATAACAATATCCATCCTAACAAAACTAATATCGACACATCAAGTAGTAGTTTTTAGCCAATATATCCAATTATTATCGTAGTAAAGCAAGAGTGTATCCAATAGCTGATAAATGATATCCATATAAACAAATATCCATAATCCCCAGACAAATAACTAAAACGTACAGTTAAATATGTAACACCCTACCCTATACGTATTATCTAATCATATTGTTCATACAATTGCAGCGGAAATAATCTCGGGTGTTACATTAATTACCAAAATTTACCCAAATAAAATTTCGACATGAACTACTCGCATAATGGGCTAACAGTTCTTGTAACTAAATCCTGCAAAATGATTTATCTGAATCCTTGCATCCATAGACATAGACATATACACATAACCATATTCATTGGCTTTCATAGCTATAGTTTCATAGCTATAGTCACAGTTTTCATACTCCACAACTGCATACCATATTTATACATACCACAATCGTCACAACTTACACAGTTACACAAATATACACATATCATCAACTTTCCACACCTGTGGATATCTCATTCTACATAAGAAGCTAGTATGCACATGAAAAACGTTCTCAAAACATTTTTACAAAAAGGTGTGGATCGCTGGCCAAAATCCCAAGTAGTCGTCCAAGCACAGGATAGTTGAAGACCATACCTCATCTTACCTTCAACTCTTGCTCAGCTCCCACCTATACACCTATCTATTGCTGCTGATGATGATGATCTTCTTACACATGGCATAAGGAGAGAAAAAGGATAAAGAGGGTCAGCTCATGGCTGAGTGAGACAATCATTGCATTGTGAGTTCATAACAAAGCATACCCCTACCATACATCTAGCAATCAAGCCAAAACACTAGGATCGGACCTCAGCCATCCTCATATCCCAATGGCCAAAAGACTCAACCACCTTGACTTATGCATATGCGTCTTATTATGTTTTACTTATAGGCGCCTAGCTACTCCCATGCTAATAACTCTCCTGGGAAACATACCCCACATCTTGTCGTATGTAGTCATACATACCCCAACATCCCGTCGGATGTGGTCATACATACCCCACACCACTATGGGTGTAGTCATACCCCGTCACCACTCTGGGTGTGGTCATATCTTGTAAGAAATCTTCAGTCACCACCACATGAGAGGTGTGACTATCATACATATCATAATAGAGTAATAGCATAGGGAGCCCTAATTACTTTGTAGTTGACCATGAGACCAAAGTACTCTTACTTGATATCCTTATACATGATCCATATCTCATCTTGCTTAATCATCATTCATTACCTAGACATGTTCTTGGCCTGGCCACAATGGGCCCAACATAGGTAAACCAGGAGTCGGATAGTTGCACTTCCTCGGGATAAACCCTTGTGCAAGTCATCCTCCTAAAAACATCATAATATCACCCTGGGAAGTTTATTTCCCCCACTTGTGAATCCAATACAACCACAATATCATATCATGTCAAAACACCTGATCGAACAACCATGTAGTCATATCAACAGTTAAGCCAAAAATGGCAACATGTATGCAATCATCAGCATAAAGAAGGTTCATATTGATTAGGGCAAGTCAATAATATCATACAACAGTCCATGGTTCAACATATAGCGCAAAAGTTCATTCACCCCTAATCATGCCATTCTAGTTCACCTAGGTCAATCCTAAGCATCAATATAATTATCGTGGTACGACAAATTCGGTATGCCGTGCTAATCCCTCACCAGTCCTGGTCATTCAAACACCGATTTAAGCTTCTCGTACTAAAACGTCAATTTCACCAACGAACCCCGAATTAAAATATGAGACCGTCCTAATATCCCCTCTAGTATCCCCGTCAATGTTAGTTCTAGGCTCCAGGTCAAATTCTTGATAAAAATACATCAAACCCTGGCCGGAGCTAAATTCAGCGATTTGGCCCCCACCTTAATAATTGCCAAAATTCAGGGATTAGAACCAGAGGATTAATTACCTTGCTGCAGGAAGCTCGTATATGAAATTTGGGCTCAATCCGGCTTCTGGATACTCCAAAACCCTAATTTGGCTTATCGGGAATTCAAGAAATTCATGAACCAAAAACTCGTTTTAAAGATCTAAATCGATAAATCATGATGTATAGATAAACTAGGCATTACTTATGTGATTTTTGGATCACTAATGCTCAAAATTGGAGCTTTGGAAATTTGCCTCGTGCCTCCCCTGAACTGCTCCGCGCTCTTTGTTCCTCAGTCCCGGAAATGGAAAAGGAAGGGGAAATGGTTTGTGGTATAATAATGACACGGGGGAGGGATTTATATAGGTGGGCTGTGACCGCTTATATATATAATTAATACGTATACTTATTCGATCGATTGATAATCCGATTTTCGTCGAAATAGTGTCGAAATACTCGATTTTAAATCGTGAAATTTTCTAACGACCGACATATGGGTTTTGCCGGAAAGGGATGTTACAAAATATCTACGCTAACCGAACTGATATCCACACATCATAGTAGTTTTTTTATCCAATTATTAACGTAGTAAAGCAAGAGTGTATCCAAACGGAGATAAAATATCCATAAAATAGATCCATAATACCCAGACAAATAACTAAAACATACAGTTGAATATCCACACTAACAAAATTGATATCCACACATCAGTGTATTTTTCTAGCCAATATATCCATGAAAAGGTATCGGAAAAAATTACTAATAGAGAAACGAAGTAAGAAATGAAACCTGTGGTGGTTGTTCATCCAGCGGATGCTGTGATGATCCATCTCCTTGACACGATCTCGGTGCAACCATTTTAGATCTCTTCCTCACGGGTTGTTCTTGAAACACAGTTATATATTAAGAAAAATATCCATATTCCCCAGACAAACAACTAAAACTCACAAAACAATATCCACCCTAAGAAAACTAATATCGACACATCAGAGTAGTAATTTTTAGCCAATATATCCAATTATTATCGTAGTAAAGCAAGAGTGTATCCAAACGGAGATAAATGATATCCATGTAAACAAATATCCATAATACCCAGACAAATAACTAAAACGTACTGTAAAATATCCACCCTAACCAAACTGATATCCACACATCAGAGTAGTTTTTATCCAATTATTATCGTAGTAAAGCAAAGTGTATCAAAACGGAGATAAATGATATCCATAATACCCAGACAAATAACTAAAACGTACAGTTGAATATCCACACTAACAGAACTAATATCCACACACCAGAGTATTTTATAGCCCATATATCCATGAAAAGGTATAGAAAACAATAACTAATCGAGAAATGAAGTGAGGAATGAAACCTGTGGTGGTTGTTCAGCCGCCGGCTTCTGTTATGATCCTGCTCCCTCATTGTTGGGCTTTGCATTCTTTTTGGTCTCCCCATTAACTGAACCAATATCCACAATGACCATAATAAATATCGGAGATGACAAAACTGATATCCATGTAACTTTTAATCAAGGAATCGACAAACGTTACCCAGATTCCCCTAAATCGAATCCAACAAACCCTAAATCGGATAATCTAGAAACAATATCGAAAAACCACAAAATGGAATTTGAGAAACCCTAAATCTGATACCTAGAAAAAAAAAATCCACAACCACAAAATAGAATCCACGAAACCCTAAATCTACAAATCGAGACGAAACCCAAAACCCCCAAATTCGAATCCCACGAACCCTAAATCTGGTAATCTAGAAACAAAACCATAAACACCCATATTCGAATACATGGAACCCTAAATCTACAAATCAAAAAACGAAACCCTAAACCCCATAAGTCGAATCAAATGAACCCTAAGTTTTGAAATCAATAAACGAAACCCAGATCTCCACAAAAAAAAATCCATGAAACGCTAACTTATTATCCACAAACAAAATAAACAATAAAGAGAGGAGAAGACGCCAACTTGAACCAAAGCGTCCTCCTTCCAGTCTTCTTCTACCTCCCACTACAGGCAGCGGCGGTGTCTTCTTTCTTCGTCGGCGATGTCGTCGTCTTCTTTCTTCAAGGACGGCGAAAACCTTCCAAAAACTTCTTCCTCGTCGGGATAGTTCAACATCGTCGTCGGCGTGGACTCAAACAAGCCGTCGCTCAAATTTTTTGGTGGTGGTTTTCGGGAGAAGAAGAAACGGAGAGGAACGAAAACTTTTTTTTGGAGAGAGTGGAGAGAATGGAAAACGCGGGTTGAGGGAGAGATAAGAGGGTTTGGGTTTGAAAATTGAGGGGTTTTTTATTGTGGGCCCATTTCTCCCAAAACAAGGCTCGGATTGGGCCTATCCACTCTTCCCCATTACACAACGGTGCCAGTAAGCCCACTCCCTCCGATCGTGGCTCGGCGACGTGGAAGAGTATCCCACCGTGTTAGTATCTACTAACCACTTAAAGGGTTAGCAGAATAACGCTATTGGGAAGGAAGCAGGTCGCCAAGAGGAGGCGAATAGATCGCGTGTTTGCTGCTTTCTTTCTTCCGTTTTGTTTTCGAAAGGGATAGAGGGGATAGGGACTGAGTTAAACTGTTAAAGGTTAAATGGGAGTGGCCGTTAAATCAAAACTTCCATTAATTTTATTTCTACGAAGCTTAATACGCAAAACCCCAATCAACTAAACGTGCTTGTTTTTTTTAGTTTGACTTAACTATTATTATTCTAAGAATTTCGGAATATAAAAACCATCAGGTATTATTCTCACTTTGGCCATCCTTATTCATACACACGTATTTTTCCAAAGAAAATTTCTAAGACAAAGTCATCATCGTCAATAGACCATGATAATCTCTTGAATTGAAATTACTTCAAAAAATTGTCAATTACTCGATCAATTAAATAATCAAATTAAATTTCCTTGTAAATCTCAATCTTAAATCTTAACATGATTAATAAGAACGTG